TAAAGGGATGTGAAGAGTAACAAGAAGGGTTTCTACAAGTATGCCGGTAGCAAGAGTAGAATCAGGGAAAGTGTGGGTCCATTATTGAATGTGGCAGGCAACATTGTGATGGAGGATGCAGAAAAGGTTAAAGTGCTCAATGACTTTTTTGCCTCCTTTTTCACAGGCAAGGTCAGCACTAGGCAGCACAGTTTGGGGAGGAGGTGAGCCGCCCTCACTGATGAAGGAACAGATTAGGAACTACTTAGAAAAGCTGGATATGAACAAGTGTCCATATGGCCAGAAAGGATACACCTGAGGGTGCCTAGGGTATTAGCTGATGTGATTGCTGAGCCATTGGCCATCATCTTTGAAAACTCATGGTGATCAGGAGACATTCCAGATAATTGGAAAAGGCAAACATAGAGCCCATATTTAAGAAAGGGAAAAAGGAGGATCCAGGGAACTACAGACCAGTCAACCTCACCTCAGTCCCTGGGAAAATCATGGAGCAGATCCTCAAGGAATCCATTTCTAAGCACTTGGAGGAGAAGAAGGTGATTAGGAACAGTCACCATGGATTCCCCAGGGCAAGTCATGCCTGACCAACCTGATTGCCTTCTCTAATGAGGTGAATGGCTTTGTGGATGTGGGGAGACAGGTGGATGTGGTGTACCTTGATTTTAGCAAGGCTTTCGATACAGTCTCCCACAACATTCTCACAGGCAAGCTAAGAAAGTACGGGTTGGATGAATGGACTTTAAGTTGGGTTGAAAACTGGCTGGAGCATCAGGTTCAGAGGGTAGTAATTAATGGTTCAATGTCTATTTGGCAGATAGTATCAAGTGGAGTGCCTCAGGGGATGGTCCTGTGGCCAGTTTTGTTCAATGTTTTCATCAATGACCTGGAAGATGCCATCAAGTGCACCCACAGAATGATTTCAGATGACCCCAAGGTGGCAGGAATAGTAGATATGCTGGAGGGTAGGGCTAGGATTCAGAGTGACCTAGACAAATTAGAGGACTGGACCAAAAGAAATATCATAGGTTCAACAAAGACAAGTGCAAAGTCCTGCACTTAGGACGGAACAATCCCATGCACAAGTACAGCCTGGGGACTGACTGGGTGGGCAGCAGCTCTGCAGAAAAGGACTGGGGGTTACAGTGGACAATAAGCTGGATATAAGTCAGCAGTGTGCCCTTGTTGCCAAGAAGGCTAATGGCATACTGGGCTGCATTGGTATGTGTGTTGCCAGCAGGGCAAGGGAAGTAATTATTCCCCTCTATTCAGCACTGGGGAGGCCACATCTGGAGTACTGTGTTCAGTTTTGCATCTCCCACTACAGAAAGGATGTGGAGATATTGGAGAGAGTCCAGTGGAGGGTAAAAAAAAATGGTGAGGGGGATGGGGGACATGACTTATGAGGAAAGACTGAGGGAACTAGGTTTATTTAGTTTAGAGATTAGGAGACCGAGAGGGGACTTAATAGCAACCTTAAACTACCTGAATAAGTTGGGGATGGTCCTGCTTTGATCAGGCGGTTGATCTAGATAATGTCCTGAGGTCCCTTCCAACCCTAATTTTCTATGATTTGGAATATTGGAAGTAGATAAGTCATTGACAGAAAATGCTGAAGCTCTTTATCTGTAAATAGATACGGAGGGATTCAGGGGGAAGTACTTAATACAGGACTGTCCAACTTTGATGCAGATGGGTGCCATGGGTGGTTGTCTTAGAATGAACTACTGGGTTCAGAAGATTCCCCGCACTTGAACAAAGGACGTACTCATGGTTGTTCTCACCCTTGCAAAGCTTTATTTAAGGATGCTCACAGAGCCAGCCAATAGGACAGAGCAGAGAGGGTGGTCACTTCACATTGGCTCTAGGCGGCAGCCACCACCCTGCATAGTTCCTCTGGCCCCGAAGTGTCCCGATCCCGGGGATGCGATAGCCTGTGCCAGACTCCGTGCAAGTCAGATCTCTTGCCAGAGTGGAGGAATTCCGCATACCTTAAGAGTGTACAGCTTATATAGTCTGGAGTAAATAACGTTATCTCAAGCTAAGAATTTGGGGATGAGTCGTGATCCAACACACCTGGTGTTTACCACATTCTGCTGTATTACAATATTCTACTATCTAGGTTTATGGTTCAGTCACTCTCGCAGAGCAAAAAGCTACGTGCTGTTTCACTGGCCTACTATGGAGACAGCATACAAAACTCTTTCTATGAGCATTAAGCAAAGCCCTTAACCAGTGGTGCTAGTATGTAGTCCCTGCCCCGAATAAACACATGGGCCACAAGCTGGGGTGGGGGGCATCCCTGTGGGATCCCCCTGCACTATGTGGGTTGCACTGGAGACATACGAGTCTCACCTCACAACATTATGGGCTCCATCAACACCCTGGACCCTGCTACACAGATCACATGGGTGGCATGTGGTTTCCAACACTCCCATGAAAACTGTACTGGGGGCATGTGGCCTCCCTACCTCCTTTGTTCCTTTTGTGCTGCCCACTTGGGCAGCCTAAGAGAAAGAGATAGGTAGGACTAAGAGGAAGAAGACAATTTAGAGCCATGATTCTTAACCAGCATGCCATGGCACCCAAGGATGCTGCTACATCCTTTTAAAAGTGCAATGTGGCACTGTTAGATATGCAAATTCAAAGCCATACTCAATATTAGTACTGTTAGGTATGCAAATACCTACACATAATTCACAATGCCAGCCCAGGGATTTCAAATAGGAATGCCTAATCATTTTGACTTCTGGTGTTTCTGAGTTCTTTTCAACATAAAAACGACTGTATTATTTTCTCATAGTCAACAAAAAAGTGAAATCTAAGAGCTGGCATTTTTCAAGGCATGCCTTGAGTGTAACAAGGGGTGCCATGAGTCCAAAAGTGAAGAACCACTGATTTAGAGTGTGTGTGGCTCTGTGAAATGGATGCTGACATTGAAGGATGCAGGGCCCTGGCTTCTAGTTGGGGGACCCTGTGGTCTTGTTGTGCATCTTTTTGTTTTTGTTGTAGTCCAGATAATGAAAGTGGATCTCAAACCAATAAGTAATTCATCTTTGCAGGTCACATTAAGTACAACCTACTATTATCAAACACCACACAAACAGAGCTCGTTACCAAGAAAAGATACGAGTAATCTTTGTTTCCAGGCACTATATTACAAAACCAATTGTTCTCAGGTGCAGTTAGATGATCCCATTTTGTTGTGTAATTATACTGAGACTTTTCCAGGAGCCTTGTAGCAAGCATATAAATGTGAAAAATATAGGTAAGTATATAAACAAAAATTGTTTGGCATCTGCCCAAAATATTGAGGAAAAATATTGTGATCCAAGACTAGACCAGATTCTCAGTTCTAGAATCATTTGAAAAATAGACATTGAATTATTGTTTACTTTAATTTCATCCACAGGTGCCAAAGTTTTAGCAATTTAGCATTTTTCCCCAACTAGGGTGGTTATCCAATCTTTTGAATAACAATGTTTTTTGTCTGGTTTTGTTTTTTTAAGGTCACGATATTATGCTTGAGGAGCTAATTTGGAATGACTATTCAACCTGCAAAGAATATATCTTTGTCCAATTTTTTTGTGATGAAAGACCACCGATGTCAGGAATTACACATTAAGTAAATCTTTCTTTTTCTGCTAGTTGAGTGAATTGCTTGCCTTAGTCAGATCCCTACTTATGCCAGTTTGAGAATGGTTTAAACTGGAAAATGAGTCTTAAGAAAAGAATGATTATTGTCATATTAAATTAAAATGTTTAGATCATTGCAGCCTTGGTGTAAAAGTGTGTTTTACAACATGTTCCAAAAATGGAACAAACTTTAGTCTAATCTTCTTCAGCATTTCATTTCACATCTGTTTTTACAGTGAGAATCTATTAAAAAATTAGAAACACATTTTTTAACCAAAGCATAACTTTTTAGAACTCAGAACCTAAGGAAAATGTAGGCTTTTGGCCCCAGACTTAGGAAACCTCACTTTAATTCCTACTTATGCAACAAATGTTGTATGTGACCTTGTTCAACTGCTGTGTGCCTTAGACCTCTGACAGACATTCAGTTTAAGGATTTAACTGTTAAGTTTAACATTCAGTTTAAGGATCCCAACAACTGGGCCTCCTGCTGTGCTACATGTGCATGGCAGGACATGTGATTTTCAGATTGAAGATGAGATCCCTATCGCACCTTACTTATCAGTGCAGGGGGAGCCTGGAATTATGAACTTAGGGTCCCCCTGCACAGCAAGTTAAAACCCAGGTAGCAACAATCAGGTAATTGTCATTTGGAGCTGGGGACTTAACAGGAATTTGAAACTGGTCCTAGTCAGATCCCCAGTCCCAGCCAAAGATGAGTTGACTGCCAAAGCTCCAGTTGAGATTTTACAGGTTTTGGGCATGGGGATCACAGGATCAAGCTGACATGTAACCCTATGTGATGCTCAGCTGGGTGGCACAAAGAGTTTCAAATTTCCTGACACATGGACCACCCAGGCTGTGGTAGCTTGATTCTTGGGTTCTTGTGAGCTGGCTCTGAGTTAAAATGCCATAGGCCATCCAGCTGGGTAGTACACAGGGATTTAAAGGTCATGGTGCACAGGGACCCCAGGATCAGGCTGCTGGGACATGTGTCCTGGGCCCTGGGGATGCCCCACGTTGGATCCTGACACAGTTGAGTATTGGGATCTATCACGAGCTAGACCCAGCTAGCCACATGTTTAATTTAAAGATACAGATGAGCCACAAAGTTGTTACACATTATATATGGAATAACTTTGTGGCTTATTAACTGTATTATCACAACTTAAATTGACATTCATGTATGACCAAGTAATTATTTAAGGTTTGATTAACTTTAATTGCATCCTAAATGGAATGTGTCAGGGACCCTAGTTTCTTACCTATATAGGCAAGATGATAGTTCTTTTCATCGCATCCCTCTTTGTCTTGTCTAGTTTGACAAGGCTGTTCAGCACAAGGGATACTTTGTGTTATGTTCTTACCTGGCACAATGTCACTCATTGTCTTGTCTGGAGACTCTACTATGTAAACAACCACCTACATAGGAGCATAAAAAAAAGACAACTTTGTTTAGCCTGCTAGAGACTTCTCTGTGAAGATAGAATGTACCTCTCCAGCTCTTAGATATCTGATAATGAATTCTGGAGAAAATCCTAGAATAGGTTAGTTAAGTAGATTTATAAGATAGAGGTCATCCTTCCTGAAGTCATATTGTACCAAGGACATTTTCAGATGTACCAATTGTTTTGAGAATAATCTCTTTGTTAGGACTGGAGAAAGAGAAAAAAAAAATCCAACAACATTTTTTTACATTAAAAAAGGTTATTTTGTAAAGACCTTCACATTACTGAAAACAGTGGCATGTTTGTATTCCAGAGGAATTCAGTGTTGTGCCTCAGCAGCTATTTAGTGTTGCACTGCCATGTTATCCTTGTCATCGATCACTTTATTTTATATCTGCACCTCCACCACTCATCCATCTTGCACTGGTCTGCAGCCCTACATTGCATTCCAATTAGATGATCTAAGGACACTTGAAAGAAGCTCAGTGAATACAATCACTGCTAATGAAAAGATTTTTCCAGTATCCAAGAGCAGCACAGGTGTTTAAACTCTCAGGAATTAAGTATTTCCTGGTATTACAACATCAAGCCAGGCTTCAGCTAATTATTGTTCAATTGTGATCACAGCAGTCAAGTTTCCATTTCCTGTTGTAAGTGAGATAGCCCGGAGGCTTACATACCTTTGGTAAAGCATATGAACCAGACATTTCCGTATTTGGCATGGCAATGGCAGGTGCACAGACTTCCTGTGACTGAGAAAGGGGAAGATCCAAGCATTTTCAGAGTAGACTGACCCAGGTAGTTCAAAAGCTAATGTACCATACACCAAATGTTTGTAAAACTGTCTCTGTCACTCTCTCTCTATGCTAAGTTTTATCATTATAAACAAATGGGCACAGCATAAAAATGAGCATAGCAGGTCTGGCAACCCAGGGCTCACTGATCATCACAAATGTACTGCAAAGGAATTGCATCCCTATTAATGACCCAGATCACTCTTTTGGAAGGAATCTGAAATCTGCAGAACGTCCTGTACTAAGGGAGTGTCCCCAGCAATCAAGAGAAAGGTTTCCAACTATCCCATGGGAAGGTCTGGGGAACTCTAGTTTCTGACAGGTGAAGAAATGGATTGACTTGAAGTCTCTGTTTAGGTAAACACAAGATTCATTTGGGAAAAGACCTAAAAGAGACAGTTACAGTGCTGTCATTTTCTTGGGGTCTTACTAAAGACATAAATAGCAAATGTACTAAGACTGCTCTGTTGCCAGCATTGTCATTTCCTCAAAACAACAAAGAAACAGTCAACTTCAAGGAATGGCCTGTGGCAGGCCAGTAGGGGGTGCTCCTGCATTGAGCCACCCACCTCACTGCACCTGACCACCTTCCAGGCTCCGAGTGCCTCCCTGGGGGCACCTCACATCTGGCCGACCCCCTTCCTGGAGCACACCCGCTAGCCTGGGGGTAGAACTGCCACCACCCAGGGCTGGGCTTTATTGTGGCTCTGTACGCCCTGGGAAACACAGACCTAGTAGCCCTCGAGGGTACTCAACTCACTTCAAGCACTTGGGGGTGCTTCTCTCAGTTGGAAGCATAAGTAGTCTCCCTTAGTCAGCCGAACCAAGGGGACCCCAAGGCATAATCTAGACCCACACCCAATAAATCTCCTATGCTAAGTACAAAGGAGAGCTTTATTGGTTACAAGGGGTAGGGTTGGAATAGGGTACAGGGTAGAGCAATATCAGAGAAATCCCATAGAGCAAACTGGCATGCCTGGGTAGCATTTGATCATGCATCTGAGTTACTGCAAGCTATATATCTAGTTAGATCTCAGGTAGCTTACTCACAAGTATCATCCAGAGGCAGGTGGAGATTCCCTCTGGAGGCAGGCAGTTCCTTGATCATGAGTTTTGAGAGAGAGAGCACATTTCAGATGGTCCAGCTCCCCCCCCCACCCTCTCTCTCTCTCTCTCTCTCTCTCTCTCTCTCTGAGTCTTCCTCATGGCTGCTGCTCCCTCCTCCTGGGCAGTCCTTAACTTATGCAGCCCTTGTGACCTCATTTACCTGGTCCAATGGAGGCCAGCACCTGTTGGCAGTTAGCCAAACAATTTGAAATGCATCATTAGTTGCTGGGCAGACTGACAGTTCCTAGCTCCGCAGGGAGTCCAAGCCCCTCACCCAGGTATGTGATGCCAGTCACATAGGCAGCGGGAGCAGGTTTCCCCCTCCCTCAGGAATGTATCCAGCTCAGGTTACCTAAAGAGAGAGGGTAAGGTGTGTGCCCTCTGCAAGGCCCATCTTAACCAAATTGTCACAAAGCAGAGTTTTTGGGGAGAAACAGAGGTGGCCTTTTGCCATAGGCCCAAGGTAGGTTCCCTGTGTCGGTGCAGATGCAGAGGAGACTTAAGTGCCTTTGAAGAGTCTACCTACAGGAATGGTCAAAGTGATGCCAGAGGATATAGGAGGAGTCTCCTAAAAATAAGCAGTAAAGATG